GCCTCTGCCCCTGCCCTGCAAGGCACCGCTTCCCACCTCCCCCCGCTCCTGCATACCTCCTCCTCCCTGTCACTTCGACTCCTGCCCATTCCTATTGCTCACTCGTTTCTATGTTTTGCTCTCTACGGCTCTTCACAGCGTCTCTTCTCCAGGTCTTGCCATATACCTGTAATCCCCTCCTGCAACCCTCACATCCCTGAATTCCAGGCAGCTGACTTTGTGAGAGCCCAAAACCTCCCCCCCTTTTTTTTGTGGTGGTGGTAGTGCCAGAGGAGCGGAGAGGGAGGACCCATCGGCCTCCTCTGCCCACTGCTTTCCACTCTCTTGTGCCAGCGGAGAGCCCCTGCACCCCCCAGGCTGCACAACGCGCTGAGGCCACGGGACAGGGTCCCCCGCAAGGCGGGAGCAATGCGGCATCCATCCTCTGAACTAACTCAGCGAGGGACATGAGGCAAAAAATTGTTGAGGCTTTAGAAACTGCACCCGTTACTCCAAGGGCACCAACAACCTGTTGGCTCCAAGGGCACCAACAGGTTGCCCAGAGAAGTCGTGGAGTCTCCTTCCCTGGAGATATTCAAAACCCGCCTGGACGCGATCCTGGGAAACATGCTCTAGAGGACCCTGCTTGAGCACAAGGGTTGGGCTAGACGATCTCCAGAGGCCCCTTCCAAGCTCGGCCATTCTGTGAAAAAGCGAGACCCTAGCAACAAACCCCTAGAAGGTCGAGCTTTTCACCAAAAATCACGTCACTTTCATCAGGGGCAGAACGTGTTTCTTCTTAACCTCATTTCTCAGAAATGGTAAGCTGCTTTCTCTGACTCTTCCCAAGAGTTTTCAGCTTGGTAAGATACCCAGCCTGGGAAATTTCTTTTCAAAACCAGTTAATGTTATAAGCAACTGAAAACAGAAGCTGCTTGTAACATTAAATTTTATAAGCTGTTCAGTCTCTGCTAATGTGATTGCTTCCATGTTACGTTCACGTTCTTCTTAAAGCCCATAAGAAACGTATGCATCTCTACTACCCAAATTAGATGGAGACTAAAGAAGTACTAGAAAGCAAAGCAAATACTAGATTTAAAACGTGCAAGCTGATTTTCAGAGAGGCTCTGAATATTTTTTTGCTCCTGATGTGAACAGGTCCACCACAGCTTCAAGAATAACCACAGAGGTTTCCCAAACTCACTGGCAACAGACACTTCACATACCATGCACCATACAGTTTTATCTTTTATCTAAAAGTATAGCCTGACCTTACCCATTTCTGTATGACAGAGCTAGTTTAGAAAGGTTAACATTTTTTTTAAGAAATTCAGATCTGAAACTGCTGTTCCAGGCAAGAGCAGTATAATTTTTATGATTTGTGGTTGCAGTTATGCACTGTTTTGTTTACACTGCTGCTAAGTTACATGGAGGATTTTAGATACCTATAGTATATCAGAGTTGCCCACATACACCCACGATAAAAAAACAAGCTTCCCCCAGCACACATAGCTATCTGTCATTTCAGCAGCTTAGCAAAGACTGACGTCAATCAACGTGGACTAGTAATCATGATTTGGCATATTTCTAAATGGCATCTGAAACGTAGCTGCAGATCTTGTACATCAATTTTATCTCAACCTTAGTTACATTACTACAAGCGTTCTAAATAACACCATGTGCACAATTTCAACTTCCGGGTAATCCTAGAGTAGGCTTCAAAAATATCAAAAACACTCGAGCTCATATTAAACATTTTCGCAACGGCTGTGCAAACATCAACACAATTTCAGACCTCAGCTGTATAAAATGCAGATCTCATTCAGCAGCTTCTGCTAAAATAACGTCCCTCGATCTTAAATGTTTAGCATGGAAATACCTTCACACTGCTGAAATAAAAATCACTGCCAAAAAGTTTGCAATGACTGAAAGCTACTCTGCAAAGTAGTACAGACTACAGAGTAGTTCCCAAGAACAGCAAAATTGCTTAAAAAGCTGCAGCAATAAACACTTAAAATATATATTAATATAGACAGCACTCCTTTCCAGGACAGAAGTCCAGCTCAAAACTGCTGTACGTGCTGAGTAAATCCTCAGTTGAGGGACTTGCCAAAGCCGTTTGGAAGTCCAGTTTTTTGGAATGTGGAAAACAGTGCTAAAGAAAGGGTATTTCACATCTCTCTGCACCCTCCCAGAGGTGCCTAATCAAATACACCCTCCCTTGTTACCTTCCTGCCCACTGAAAACAGGGATGGAACGGGATACGAGAGGCTTACACAGAAGCTTTAAGCCAGTTTCCCACTGGGCTAAATATCACCCCGGAGTCCTGCTCCAAAGCCCTCCCAAGTCAGAGGCAAGACCCTCTCACTGTCTGATACAAACAGATCTGAGATGACATCCTTGGAAAACAGATCGGTCTTGTGGCAGCCATCCAACTCATGACTGTTTTAATTGCTTAGCATGTCAGAGGCCGGCCTTTCCTTGCAGTCATTCCTGTGATATGAAAAGCAGGGCTAAGAAAGCACCAAATGAGCAGGTACAGCTGAAACTTCACTCTCAAATGATCTCGTGAGTGTAGGCCAACTGCGTTACCACGTGGTAGGCATGCATCTGGCACACAGTCCCAAGACACGAAAGTGGTGCAGAAGGCTAACAAAGAGTTCAAAAACAGGCCCGGCACTTTTCGTCTCAAACGAAAAGAAAAAAAGGAAAAAAATTACACATTTGACTGTGTTGGTACTTACTGTTGTCATAGATCGGGTTGGAAATCAAAGGAGGAAGAGCTAACGTGTAATTGCCATGTTCATCGGGGAGAAAAGCTTGGAAGCAGAGGCGGACGACGTTGAGATCATACTCATCAATGTTGTGCAGCTGTTCTTCAGGCACTGTACAGCAGAAGGAAAGAGACTGAGGATTACTCTTCAGAAACAGCAGAAACGCTTTAACCAAACTGGGGGTCGAAGTCCACTGGGAAAAGAAATAGTGTTGCCAATGCAGAGGGAACCTGGCCATAGTCCCTGCTGGCTTCAGAGGAGCTGTATGCATAAAATGATTATACACCACAAATGGAACAGAAGCCTTTAATACCTTCCCTTCATCAAATAAGGCTAAAACTGAAGCAAAAAAAGTAAAAAACATTCCTCCTGCCAAGGCTGTCTTCGCCCTACTTTCACGTTTTATGAAATCTTGCTCTTTGACCAGCGTATCTCACGGATGAACTCTGATGAGCCAGACTGGCATTGCCCCTGGGGAGCTGCAGTAAAGGAAGATGAACCAGGGAGCAGAGCTTCTGTCACACCAAACCACAGCACGCATCCATCCGGGAGCCAGCGACATGGGGCTCTCTGGTGCCAAGCATTTTGGCCAACCAATGCTCTTAGCAAGACAACTCATCCTGAAATTACGGTTCCCAACATTTGGAGGATGCAGTTCCTCATCTCTAAGGGATCTGCACCCTAACCTCCAACACGGATTGGGATTTTTGACTCACTCCAGGTCAGATTCTCAGGATCTCACCCTGCTATTCCAGTTTCTTTTCCACCTTTACAAAGTCTTCATCCTCTTTGTCCCAGTTCTCCAGTTGTTCCTTGAGTGCTCTTTGCTCACTGGTTTCCTCACCTGGCCTTCCAGACCAGTTTCATATATCTATATATGTTTAAAAGTCATTCCTTGGATTCATATTTCTCCCTCTTGTTTGTGCATAATAAAGTGCACAAACAAAATGAATGACATGGTCAAACAGAAAAGGACAAAAAAATCCCAGGATCTAGCTAAAGATCTGCAGCAACAGTGAGAGGTTTCTGCTACATGTTATCATTGTTTTCCTCTAGAAGCTGAGGAGGAAGAATGACGAGAAGGCAGTTCTTGGGGTAAGAATGAAGCCAAAACAATACAAACAACCCCTCCGCCCCGCTTCCCATCAAGATCTGTGTCACTTCTGTACTTTTGAAAATAGTGATTAGCGGCATCATTACAATATATTTACGTAACACAACAAGCAGACCCTTTCTGGAAAGGATGTTTAGTTACGTATTCCTCCCAGTGTAAAACACAGTAACGCTTAATCCAAGCCCAGCATTTCAGTTTTGTTCTCCTTTTCACTTATTTTAATTTCAGAACATAGGACCTAGGGTATTATTAGTAAACATTTCATGCACTCCTGGCTTAATCGGTGATTCTGGGAAAAGCTGCAACACATGAACTTGGTAACACTTTCCTTTAAGGTCTGACATTAAACTATTACGTTGACACCCAATGATCGCAAATGAAAGACCGATATTATTTCATTTAAGCTGAAGTACTGATAATTAAAATCATTTAAAGAGGTTCTCTTTTCCAAAGTTGTACAAAGCAGCAGTTCAGCATGGTTAGATACGCCCAGTAATTACATAAAGGTCTGCAAAGTCAACAGATCACAAACTCTTCAGGTTCGCTCCTTCCCCTGCCCTTTCAAAGCCCTCCTGCAAGAATGAAACATTAAATGTGCTTGTGATAAAAAGCCTGTGGATCATGCTGTACTGATTAGATTGCAATACTTTTGACCTTTAACACTTATCACTGGGTTGGTCTCCACTCTGTCATGAGTAGGATTCCACAATGCCCACTCGACTGATTTCTTCCTTTCACCTTTCGATAGCGTGAAATACTAAATGCATTGAATTCAGAATACTTTCCACTGGCATTTTCAATCTTTCTGATGTTCTTAATATCTCAGTTTCTCCCGATCGCTACTGCAAAAAGAAAGCCCATCACTTTCCATTTTACAAGCCCATGATAAGCCATACTTACAAATATACCAGTGAGTGCAAAACTAAGTAGCAGCTATTGTAACTTTAAAACGTTGGGCCCCAGCTAACGAGTGCAGAGACAGAACTGCAAGGAGGAGTCATGCTGCTGTGAACTTTGTGGGCTGCAGTCTGACTGTTATTACCAGATATGCAAAGTTTCATAATTTAATGTACTTCATTAGCTGACCTGCTAACTTAATAAAACAGAATGTTTTTTAAAACAGGTTTTCTCACTGGTGCCACTGTGTTTTAAGTTATGTGTATTTACAGAGGCTGACAAAAGGGCAACAGAAATACAATTCACTTCCTCAGCCCAGAACTACACTGTGAATCCTAGGAGAGGAGTAAAGAGGAGGCATCAGGATCACATCAGGGACACTGGACCAGTCAGTACTCACTGGATGCAAGAGCACTCTTCACGTGAATATAAATTGCAGCTTGGTCAAGAACGCCTGTGAGCCTGCACTGACACACAATCTGGGAGGTATACCTTCACCATCCCGTTAATCTTCCTCCTCCAAACTAAAATTCAACCTGTCATAAATTTGACTCCAGAGCAGTTCTTGCTGTCAGGAATGCTGCAGACATGACAGAGCCCTTGAAGCTATTCCTGTGTCGTTTTGGAGGCCTCTACGATCCACTGACCATTAGCTGGCTCTCGAAGCCAACCAAGGATGAAGCAGATGCTAATGCCAAAACGTACCTGATGGGGCTATCAGCAACCTGCTGCTGCGAAAACTAAGCCTGGGAACATTTTTATGCTTGGATGATTTACAGGGTATTCAGGATGAGGTCTCTGAACCTCAGCACTTCTCTGGAACAAACGCTGCACAGCGTAATTCAGCTACGGTAGTCTCTACAGCTTCTCGATACAACCTGAGTTAGAAAACAAAGTGTGTTCTCTAGATTAAGTCCTGCAGAATGAACAATCAGAAGTGTAACGCTATTTTGCTCCTAGCAATTCAAGTGATTCTTATCTGTGCTCTAACACCTTAGCCAGCAAGCAGTTGACTCCTGAGGACACTCTGGCATTAAGGCTTAGTGTGCTGCGTTAGCCTTTGGTGATAATTTGGATCCAGCTAGAGAGCCCAAGCTGAAGCCAAATTTCAAACCCTCTAAAAATGAAGCTGAGTACAGATATTCAATATCTTTGCCTAATTCAACTCATTGCAGATAGAAGCCAAGCACAAAATCTGCATCTGGCTTCTGATTGTGAAACAAAGTGAGGATTTTGTGGTTGTGGAATCAAGCACCTCTCTCTTACAAATTAAAGCATCAGTCCTGTACTGCGGATTCCACAGATACAGTAGTAGCCTGCACCTCAGAAACAAACAGTGGCAGAATTAAACCCTGACAGAGCTCTCTAAATACAAAACTACATTAGATAGGAAGAAAACGAGCACGTTAATCTTAGTGTTCAACTTAAACAGTTTGATGTACTAATTAAATAGTTTGATACACTATCAACTTTCACAACTTCCCAGTAAATCTGCTTGATCACTTGGTATAGGAAAGATCTAGTGGGTCAATAACTGCAAAACACAGAATCACTGTATACGGCTCATTGTACTGCTGCAGAAAACACTGTTGCTAATTTGCATGTTCTTGTAAATGACTTAATACATTAAAAAAATCTGCAGCTTGAAAGAGGAAGTGCTCAGTCAAGACCGATTCCTCTTGGGCTATTTTTAACCAGATGAGAAGAATATAACAGAGCAAAAAAGGAGAACATGACAGCTGCAACTCCATCTTGTGATGACATGTTTAAAAATATATAGAAGCTAAATTCCATACTTGCATAGAGAAGCACAGAGCTTTCATCAGTTTCAAAACATATTTCATTCACACCTAAAAGACAACCATCCAAACAAAATAAAATGTTGTTATTTTTAATGAATGCCTAATTCTGCTCCCTCTGAAGTCAATCTGAGATTAACCACTGACTTGAGCGGATGCTGGCTCACACCTAGAGAATATTAAAAACAAACAAAAATGAGGCAGACAAACACGCTGACTAATGCTTGGAGGATGTCCACATGGAGGATGGTGGTGTCATTCAGTGTTATTTCATCAGCTTCCATACCGGAGGACAACAAATAGCATCAAACCTTACAACCTAACAAACTTAAAGTGACTAAAGTTTAAAAAAAAAAAAAAAAAAGCTTTTAAAGATTTTTGGGAAGAGAAAGGATTGAAGAAGAACAATATAAAGAGCATCGCCCTGTGCAAACTTCGGACAAGCAGCTCTGCTGAAGCCTGCGACATTATACATGTGAAGGAAGGATTGCACAACGGAGTGCGTTCAGAGCAGATACGGTAAAAAAGGCTTATACACAACATATTGGTAAAAGGAAGCAGCACTATGCTCTTGGCAAGGATTCAGCTTCCTCTTTTTACTTCTTGCTGTGTGGTACCACACCTTACTGTCTTCACACGAATCCAACCGAAAGAGCTGCAATCCAACTAATAATCTATGTAAACACTGCAGCAAAGCTCCTATGACGGCCCAGGCTAATGAAAAACTAACCTTAATCTGGCAGGAATTCATGCTCTGTAGTTATCTCTACAAACAGCAGTATATTAAGGAATGTTTATAAGTATAGCTCTTCAGCAAGGTGAGAGGAGAGCTTTTAAAAGTAACCCTCCGCAACTCAAAAGCGCAGAAAATTAAAATAATATTAAAAATAATTAAAATTCTTGAGTACCTATGGGGCCACTGCACCAAAATAAATACATAAATAAATTTAAAAAACACAACCGGATCAATCATAAAAGAAAGATAACCGAATTACCAAGATTTTGGCCATAAGATTTTTAAAACGGTATCAGTATTTGCAATTGGACTTAAGGAGTATTAGCTGTTGAACCAGAAAGGGGCTGCTATAATTAGTAAATTCTATCTTTATAAATCTATTTACAACTCTTCTAAAAGAAATGCTGATTCCTCAGCTTAAAAAAATTACTACCCTTGAAATACTGTTCTACTTCTGTATCTATTAGCACGGGAAGAGACTGACACAGTGCCAACGAGGCACAAAAACATCCCGCACAAGCTAACTCCTCAACGCCTCCCCGGCCTGAGCTGCCTAATCTGAGCA